AGTTTTCAATTTAAATCGCGCGGGTAAACCGCACATCATAAATATTTTTTTTCTAAGTTGGCAGCATTGTGACAGACATCTGTGACAAATTTCATGTCAAAACATTCATTACTTTTTGCTTTACGCTTGGTTTTGTACGACGCTAAAAGTGCATTCGGCGATTTTTACAATGTCTAATTATATTGAGCAAAGAAGTTGCATTAAATTTTGTTTGCGGAATGAAATTTCGAGTGCAGAAACGTTCAGGATGTTGCAGAAAGCCTTCGGGGACCATGCTTTGTCGGAAAGGAATGTTTACAAGTGGTATAAACAGTTCAAAGAAGGTCATGAAAGTGTTGAAGACGAAGAGCGTTCTAAACGACCATCAACCTCTACCGATGAACAACACGTCAAGCAAATCGAAGAACTTGTGCTTGCTAATCGTCGAATGACTGTTAGAGACCTTGCTGATGCTGATTTCGAAAGGATCTGCCAATACCATTTTGAAAGATATTTTGGGTTTGAAACGTGTAAAATCTCGACTAAAGACTAGTGCTAAAACATCTCAATTTCTTCAAAAAAGAGCGTCGCAAGATCTGTGAAGAGATACTTTCTGACTATCAATCGGTCATGAAACGGATTATTACTGGAGATGAGACTTGGATCTATATTTACGACCCGGAAACACCGACCAATCCAGTGAATATCGTGCAAGAGGTGAAGCCAGACCGAAAAGATCGCGCCAAAGTCGATCGAAAATCAAGGTCATGTTGACAGTTTTCATCGATTATCGTGGTGTTGTCCATTCAGAATTCCTTCCACTCGGCCAAACCGTCAACAAATAGTATTATTTGAGTGTTATGCGTCGTTTGCGTGAAGCTATTCGCAAGAAGAGGCCAGAATTGTGGGCAGACAATTCTTAGTTTTTACATCACGATAATGCACGTTCTCATACTGCACTCGTTCTTCGTTACTTTTTCGCTAAAAATTCGATCCATATCGTTCCACAACCACCGTATTCGCCTGATTTAGTACCGTGTGACTTCTGGCTATTCCCGAAACTCAAAAGACCACTGCGGAGAAATCGTTTTGAGACGATAGAAGAGATACAACGTGAATCGCTACGCGCTCTGAAAGCCATCCCGGAAGGCGACTTTAATTCTTGTTTCAAAGACTGGAAAATACGTTGGCATAAGTGTATTGTATCGGGAGGAGATTACTTTGAAGACGACGAAATAGATTTGGAATAAATAAATATTTTTTGAAATAAATAAAAACTGGTCTTACTTTTTGGACACAGTAGTATATATATATACAGGGTGTCCCGAAGTCCCATGATGACCCTTGGTGAGAACGTAGAACGGATTGAGGTGAGCAAGAAAGTCCTGTGCCGTTTTGCGATATTCGCAATAGTTTTTGAGAAATTAATTATTTTGTCTCAACAAATCAGCGTACAGAAAGCGGCAGCGGAAAGAAAGATGCCTTCGGCCGACGTGCGACCGTGACACTCGCGAATCGTATCTCGCCGCATCCCTCCGCCCATA